GCGCTTGCGAAATCTCGAGATCTCCGTCACGGGATCATCTCCGAGAACAATAATTTTGTAAGAATCTGCAGTATCATTAAAGATGATATCATGCAGAAACTGAATCAGATTGGCCGGCGCGTTCGGAAGTTATGGCCATTTAAGTGTTTTCACTTCAAGGGGGTGTAACTCCCCCTAGATTGATCCTACAGGGGTTCAATGGGTTTTTTTTTGCCGCAGGATGCTCTCTCTCTCGTGCCCTAATTAGAAATATAAATTTCCTTCCGGAACTACTACATCTCGAACTTTTCAAAAAGTTCCAAAATGCACTTTTTCACTCCAACCCCTGCCATTCGGCCATTTTGTATTCGATCGGGATAAAACCTTTACCATTGAAACGGGAAGGAAATTTCCTAAAAAATATGTCTTTGGTTTTTCGAAATCTGTCATACTTTCACAGATATGTAAAAAAATTCAAGTGTTGCCCTCCAATTGGACGTTACTGTTATATGAATGTTGTAGTTTTGTGCTAGTCAAGTGATATTTTTTATAAAGTTTACAAGATTTCACATGTGCAATTGAAATCACAATTTTATTTCCGAGTTATATAATGCTTGACAGAAATGTTGTATGGTGCAGAACTGTAATATTAATGATATGTATAATTATACGTGTATAATCAAAAATTATAAATGAAACAAATCTTTTTTCTATTTATAGTACGATAATAAGCATGCTTCACTTATAGATAATATGTTATATGTGGTAAATTTTTGTTGGTCTCTTAGATCATGTATCTCATAGCTATTTATATACATATAGTGACTCAGTGAGTTATAGCATATCGTCTTTTTATAAGACTATACAGAAAGGTAAAAGTGATAAAGCGTTCTTACCTGCTGATTTTGCTTATATGGACGATAATAGTTGCTTATATTCAATGAATATTTTTCATCACTAACAATGTCATTATATCCGGCTATAGCAGCATTTACATATGTTTATAATAATAAAAACAGATGTGCGGGCAGATATATGACAGTCACAACCTATTCCCGCCCTTTTAGAACAATCCCGCGTATTCTACAGTCTTCGCGCGCATTTCCACGCATAGAGTCCCTCTAGTCAGAGTCCGGCCAACACCTGGAAGGGACGCCATGTTTAGGGCTTGTTTGGCGCCGCCATGACATTGCCCGAGACTCGGTCGAGTCTCGCACCAAGTACAGGCAACCCGCCGTACAGGGCTTAACACTACCCACACTACACAATGCGAATCTCTCCCATATACATACGTATACACACACACACACACACACACACACACACACACACACACACACACACACACACACACACACACACACACACACACACACACACACACACACACACACACACACACACACACACACACACACACACACACACACACACACACACACACACACACACACACACACACACACACACACACACACACACACACACACACACACACACACACACACACACACACACACACACACACACACACACACACACACACACACACACACACACACACATCCGGTTGGCCGGACTCTGACTAGAGGGACTCTATCCACGCAATCGTGCGCGTGCCGTTGGGTTCCCGCGTATTCCCTCGTGTATTTTGTAGGCACGGGCATGTGGTGTTTGGTTACTACTAAAAAGGTTGTAATTATTTCTCGAGACGGTGAGTAAATATCGGCAGAACATTTACATATTTCATCGCAGTGCGGGTGTATTAAAAAATCGCAGAAAAAGTACCTGTAACACGACGGAATCTAAGACTTCAAGACAAAGAGTACTTATATGAACGAGTGATTATTAGATAAAAACATGTCTACGCCGAATTTCGCATACGTGAAATATGCAACTGGCGAGATAGAAATCGTTTCGGTCGATAAAATAGAAAATATCGCTCTGGACAATATTAATTTCAAAAAGAAGTACAAAATTTCATGGAACAATGCATATTATGAGGGTATTATTCTTTTTGTTGGGTGTAAGTATACAGTCACTCATATTTGTTATACATTTACAGCAAAGATTTAATTTAATTTCATTGAAGCATCCTAACTTTTTATCAATCAATAATAAATAAATAATGAATAAATAAGCTGAAACTCGCAGGTGGTTCGCTGGGCAAGCAGTGGATCGGATCGTCTCATCCGACGAACTGCCTGTTGCACTGCCTCCTAGTTTCAGTGACATAATAATATTTTTTTAGTGACTGAATCAGAACTTGAAAAGAAAATTGATACTACAAGATCATGAGCAAGACCTCTTGCTAGATATTTCTCAGCTTCTGACAGTGACACCCCCGATAAGATAATGGAAAACGTAATTATTGTCACTGCTTGAGGCGAATTGTGTATTCAGACAAAATTAATCTTCTGAAATCATAGAGTCTCAAACAATACTGATCCGTGGGATATTCTTTACTTTTTGTATTTAAGAAAAATGATGTTAGACAAACTGCTAAGATTGTGAAAACTTTGTTGACTCAGAAATTGCGTGATGCAGCTAAAAAACAATTGACTGCAAAGGTAGTCAGATTTGTGTACTAAAAAAAAACTATTTACATACTGTTCTTTTCTAATAATCTAGGCAACCAAAGACGTTGGAGGCAACTACAAGAACAAACAAACAGAAATAGCACCATCGTAATC